ATAAACTGGGTGTGGTGGCATGCACCTGTAGTCCCAACTACTCTGGAGGTAAGGCAGGAGGATCGCTTGAGCCCGGGAGTTTGAAGTTACAGTGAGCTATGATCATGACACTGCTCTCCAGCCTGGGTGACAGAGTGAGATCCTCTCTTGAAAATAAATAAATAAATTATACAGGATTTATCATGAAAAGGAATAGGCTGGGCATGGTGGATCACGCCTGTAATTCTAGCACTTTGGGAGGCCGAGGCAGGTGCATCACCTGAGGTCAGGAGTTCAAGACCAGCCTGGCCAACATGGTGAAACTTTGTCTCTACTAAAAATACAAAAAAATTAGCTGGGTGTGCTGGCGGGTGCCTATAATCCCCATCTTAAATTTAAGACATTATTCGTTGACTTGCCAGTAAGAAAGATCAAGATTTAGTTAGCTCACATTTTTTGTCTTCTCTACATGTCCTTGGCATTTTTGCTATTTAATATTTTGTTTTTTAACCTTTAAATAATGTACCTAAAACTGATATTTCTTGTTCCCTCAACTTGAAGCAATGTCTCCTGAGTTCCTACGTGGTTAACAGCACCCCAATTCTTCTTCTTTTCCCCTCTCTTCCCTACTTCTATTTCTCAAGGCCAGTCAGCTGTACCTTTAATTTTACATTGTGAAAGTTGTTAATATTTATAGTCTCTTCTGTAACTATATTTAAATCTTTGTAATTTGACTCTAGGTTGGTTCTAAAAATTGAAACAAAAAATAGCATTTACATGACAGTGACTTCAGTCTGTTTCCTTCCCTCCTTTGTCCTTCCCTGAATTTGAATCTCTAAATCTAGGGCATGAATTCCAGAGTGGGTGGGATGAGTAAACCAACAGGGTAACAAAAGCATAAGTAAGAGCAGTGTCAATCAGAGGCACCTATGCTGAGCTGGAAGTCTCCCAGCAGGACATTGCTAGAGGGGACCTGTAGTTTTGGGCAGGAGGTGGTATTTCAGTTGTGCTATGAAGGGTGAGAGTTAGATTTGTTAGGATTAGCGAAACGTGGGTTGGAGACTTTAGGGTGCAGTAGCCAGTTGATCAGCAGGTTACATGAAGTGAGTGTTTCCTGGAGAAGCAGGAAAGCTGTTGGGTTAGAATTATGGAGAGAGATGGATAGGGGGCAGGTTATTAAGCCTTGGATTATTTTACTTTTTTTTTTTTTTTTTGAGGTAGATCCTCGCTCTGTTGCTCAGGCTGGAGTGCAGTGGCTCGATCTCGGTCCACTGCAACCTCCGCCTCCTAGGTTCAAGCGATTCTCCTGCCTTAGCCTCCCGAGTAGCTGGGACTACAGGTGCCTGCCACCACGCCTGGATACTTTTTGTATTTTTTTTTTTGGAGATGGAGTCTCGCTCTGTCACCCAGGCTGGAGTGCAGTGGCTGGATCTCAGCTCACTGCAAGCTCCGTCTCCCGGGTTTACGCCATTCTCCTGCCTCAGCCTCCCGAGTAGCTGGGACTACAGGCGCCTGCCACCTCGCCCGGCTAGTTTTTGTAATTTTTAGTAGAGACGGGGTTTCACCGTGTTAGCCAGGATGGTCTCGATCTCCTGACCTCGTGATCCGCCCGCCTCGGCCTCCCAAAGTGCTGGGATTACAGGCTTGAGCCACCGCGCCCAGCCACTTTTTGTATTTTTAGTAGAGACGGAGTTTCACCATATTGGCCAGGCTGATGTTGAACTCCTGACCTTGTGATCTGCCCGCCTCAGTCTCCCAAAGTGCTGGGATTATAGGCTTGAGCCACCGCGCCTGGCCAAGGATGATTTTACTTTTGACTTTAACTTCCCAGAATGTTTACTGATGTGGTCCCTCTGAGGTGGGGTGGTTCAGAGGGTCTTTGGAAAGCACAACTAGACGGAAGAATGAAGAGTGAGAGCTGCTAAAAAGAATTTAAAGAGGCCAGGTACAGTGGCTCACACCTGTAATCCCAGCACTTTGGGAGGCTGAGGCGGGAGGATTGCTTCAGCTCAGGAGTTTGAGACTAGCCTGGATAACCTGAGGAAATGCTGTCTCTGCAAAAATTATCCAAGTGTGGTGGTGTATGCCTGTAGTCCCGGCTACTTGAGAGGCTGAGGTAGGAAGATTGCTTGAGCCCAGGAAGTTGAGACTGCTATGAGCTGTGTTTGTGCCACTGCACTCCAGCCTGGGCAACAGAGCGAGACACTGTCTCAAAACAAAACAAAACAAAACAAAACAAAACAAAACAAAAAAACCCCAAGAATTTAAAGATGGCAGAACTAGGGCTTGATGATCGTGTAATATCATCAAACTTGGAGCTCCCAGAGATGAAGAAGGAAAGGGGAAATCAAGCCTTAACCATATGCAATTGACTGAGAACCTGCTAGAAGGCCCAACAGATTGCTCTTAGTGCTCAACAAAGGCCCAGGGATGAGGATTAATAGGTTTTATTTCCTAGCTACTGTACTGGGTTAAATAATGTCCCCCCAATATTGGTATCTGCCAAGAACCTGTGAATATTTGGGAAATAGGGCCTTTGTACATTGAATCTGGTTAAGATAAGGTCATACAGCTCAGGCTGTAAATCCAGTGACTTGTCTCTATGTAAGGAGAGGGCTGTTTGAACATACAGTGACATATGGACATGCACAGAGGGAAGGTGGCCATGTGAAGACAGGCAGAAATTAGAGTGATGCAGCTGCAAGCCAATGAATGCCAAGGATTGTGGCCACCACCACAAGCTAAGAGGCAAGGAAGGATTTTTCTCAAGACCCTTTGCAGGTATGTCCAATTTTTTGGCTTCCCTGGGCCACACTGGAAGAATTGTTTTGGCCCACACTTAAAATATGCTGACACTAACGATAGCTGATGAGCTTAAAAAAAAAAAAACACAAAAAATCTCAATTTTTTTTTTTTTTTTTTTTTTTGAGAAATTCTCCTGCCTCAGTCTCCCAAGTAGCTGGTATTACAGGCACGCGCCACCATGCCCGGCTAATTTTTGTATTTTTAGTAGAGATGGGGTTTCATCTCACAATGTTTTAAGAAAGTTTACAAATTTGTGTCAGGCTGCGTTCGAAGTTGTCCTGGGCTGCATGCAGCCTGTGGGCTGTGGGTGGGACACGCTTGCTTTAGAGGGGACATGGCCCTGACGGCACCTCGATTTCAGATTTCTAGCCTCCAGAACTGTGAGAGGATAAACTGTTGTTTTAAGCCACCCAGTTTGTGGTAATTTATTATAGCAGCCCTAGGAAACCAATACCTTGTAAAATAGTCATTCATCCATTTGACATCTGTTCTATTAATCATCAACTTATAATGCACCTGTCTCTGTTTAGGTAAAGTGAAAAGATGGAACTGGTCCCTTTCCTCTTGGGAACTCACAATTAAACTAGTCAATGACTCTTAGCTCATCTGAGTCTATAGAATCTGAGAGTTCAAATGGCCCTAAGTGTTACCTGTCTACATTTACCCCATACTCATAATGATTGAATCTCCAAAAGTACTTTTCCAGTCTCTGCATATAATCTTATAGAATGGGGAACTCACTTCTCCCTAGAGATGGTCCCCTGTACTTCTACAGACTTCGACTCAGAAAATTCTCAGACTGATGCCGGGTGCGGTGGCTCACGCCTGTAATCCCAACATTTTGAGAGGCTGAGGCGGGTGGATCATGAGGTCAAGAGATTGAGACCATTCTGGCCAACATGGTGAAACCCCGTTTCTACTAAAAATACAAAAATTATCTGGGTGTAGTGGCGTGCACCTGTAGTCCCAGCTACTTGGGAGGCTGAGGCAGGAGAATCACTTAAACCTGGGAGGCAGAGGTTGCAGTGAGCTGACATTGCGCCACTGTACCCCAGCCTGGTGACAGAGCGAGACTCCATCTCAAAAAGAAGAAGAAGAAAAAAAAGTAAGTTCTCACAATGGTTGCAGTGGCTCATGACTGTAATCCCAGCACTTTGAGAAGCTGTGGTGGGTGGATAACTTGAGGTCAGGAGTTTGAAACCAGCCTGGCCAACATGGTGAAACCCCATCTCTACTAAAAATACAAAAATTAGCTGGGTGTGGTGGTATGCGCCTGTAGTCCCAGTTACTCAGGTGACTGAGGCAGGAGAATTGCTTGAAACTGGGAGGTGGAGGTTGCAGGGAGCCAAGATCATACCACTGCAGTCTGGCCTGGGTGACAGAGTGAGACTCCATCTCTGGATCTTAGTAACATTTACCTATTGATCCTGGTTTTCCTCATTGAGTTAACAAAGTTTGATCCCTTTTCCCCAGGAGAGCTTGTTACTTAATGGAAAACAGTGGTTGTTACTCTCTTGATGTACGTTCAATTCTAGGTAGTGCTTCTTTCACCAGCAAGCTCTCCTCTGTGAGAAAACTTTGTATCCTTAATAGCAATAATAGACACAGCTGACATTTATAAGGACTTATGTATTAAGCATCATGCTAAGTGTTTGGCATACATTATTGAATTTGATCCCCATGATAAGGCTATGAGGAAAGCACTATTAAGCCTCATTTGATAGATGAGGAAATTGATGGTTAGAGAGGTCAAGGACTGTACAAGAAGTTGTGCAGCTAGATAAGCATTGAAGTAAGGATTTTTTTGAGACAAGGTCTTGTTCTGTCACCCAGGCTGGAGTGCAGCAGTGTGATCACGGCTCACTGCAGCTTCTACCTTCTTGGGCTCAGGTGATCCTCCCACCTCTGCCTCTTGAGTAACTGAAACTATAGGTGTGTGCCACCACACTCGGCTAATTTTTTGTAGAGACTGGGTTTCACCATGTTGCCCAGGCTGGTCTCCATCTGCTGGGCTCAAGACATCTATTCATCTCAGTCTCCCAAAGTGCTGGAATTACAGGCGTGAGCCACCATGCCTGGCCTGGAGTAAGGATTTTTATCAGATTAAATTCCATGTTCTGATCCAACCACACTGCCTCTTGTTGCCTAAGAACCTGGGGTTATCTTGGGAATACCCTTGCCTTACCATGAACCTACTTTTGTCTCTCTGGATGCAGGAAGGACCATCAGAGTGCTCCACCTGTGCAGTATCGGGAACTGCAGTCTTTGCTAGAAGCCATGCTAAACCGGTGTGCGGAGTTTTCCCAGACCTTGCTGAACAGGAGGCCCCTGGTCAGTGTACTGCAGCCTGCTGCTTCTGAAGATCATGCTGCAATGTGTTTTTAGAAAGATAATTAGTATATTCCCTTACTTTTGTATGCTATTTCATGGCTTTTTCTCATGCACACATGGCTACTATGAGGCTTAAGGATTATTATTCCCATTTTTACAGATGGTGAAACTAAAGCCACGAGGGTTAAATAATTTTTCTCCAAGGTCTATAACTAGAAAGTACCTAAGCCTAGATACTAAATTCCAGGGTGTTTTTACCCCAGTCTATTACATACATTCTCCGTTTATATCATATAAGCAGATAGAGTAAACATACTCACAAAATTATTTAAGTCTGGATTCACTAGAGTCTTAGAATCTGAACCATATACAATGTGTTGTAGTTGCTGACTTTTAATAGCCTGTAGACTTAAGATATCAGGTAAGACACTGTCAGTGTGAATGTTGATTGTGTCTTTCAGGATTAACTTTGGAAACTAAGCTCTTTACACCTGATGGAGTGGAGATTGTCTTGTGTTTTAGAGCAACTAATAGGGCCATTACAGTCAAGCTAATGCCCACTAGCCTGTGACAGCTTTCTGCATATAATAGACCAATAGCCATTCCTGTGGTTCAGAGAGACTGTTGGTTAAGGTCCCTCCAATACTGCTACCATTTTTTTTTTTTTTTTGAGACAGAGTCTCACTCTGTGGCCCCACTCTGGAGTGCAGTGGCACGATCTTGACTCACTGCAACCTCCGCCTCCCGGGTTCCAGCGATTCTCCTGCCTCAGCCTCCCGAGTAGCTGGGATTACAGGCATGCACCACCACACCTGGCTAATTTTTGTATTTTTAGTATAGACGGGGTTTCACGATGTTGGCTAGGCTGGTCTCGAACTCCTGACCACCTCGGCCTCCTAAAGTCCTGGGATTACAGGCATGATCCACCGCACCAGGCCCCTGCTACCAGTTTTTTTTTTTTCTGAGATGGAATCTTGCTCTTGTTGCCCAGGCCGGAGTGCAGTGGTGTGATCTCGGCTCACTGCAGCATTTGCCTCCGGGGTTCAAGCAATTCTCCTGCCACAGCCACCCTAGTAGATGGGACTACAGGTGCCTGCCACCATGCCTGGCTAATTTTTTTTTTTTTTTTGTATTTTTAGTAGAGACGGAGTTTCACCATGTTAGCCAGAATGGTCTCGATCTCCTGACCTTGTGATCTGCCCGCCTTGGACTCCCAAAGTGCTGGGATTACAAGCGTGAGCCACCACGCCCAGCTTTGCCACGATTTTTTAAAGGAGCTATTTGCAAGGATATAGCCAAGATCTCTTGGAAAGTTAGGTGTACAGGAATGTCAGACTGCAGTGTGAGAAGAAGAGGTCTACAGTCATCCAAGCATAGACTGAGACACAGCATATACTTGATCACTAGGTTCCTGTCTCTCCTTCCCACCTCAGGGCCATGCCTCCAGTAGAGATTCAGAGAAAGCCATTCTTCAAAGGGGAAAGTTCCTCCTGAGCACTCTGGAGGGATTTAGAAGTGCCTGCAGGTGAGGAGCCCTCTGTGGTATGAAGTAATAGCGTGGAAGGTAGGTGTGGAAGGGATTCAGACAATGGGTGAAGTTCTAGAGGCAATACTTGATTTCTGATACTCTGCTGTATGGCAAAGAGGATTTTGGCTGGGGTAGGATTTGCGGGGGTGTGGAGGAGGCTTGAGGGCAGGCAGCTAGGGGTAGGACCTTTCTAAAGATTCCTTCCGCATGGAGTTTTGCTACTGTGCCATGAGGTTGTGTCTTATTCACCTTCGCTCCCCACCACCCCCCAACTAGCCTAGCACTATAAGTATTCACTGAATGGTTGTTGAATTAATTCAGTTTACATTAACAAATGTTTGTTGTATCTACTGTGTGCCATGCCTGATGCTAGACAGTGGGGCTGGAAAAAAAAGTCAGAATGACTCCTGCCCGCAAGGAGCTCACAGTCTCTTGGGGAAGAGATGCTTTTTTGTATACGTGTGGGATTTGTTAGGTTTTCAAGAACCTGGGGAAGGTATTCCAGATGGAGAGAGCAGCATATTTAAAGGCAAATGAATGGGAAATAGCAAATAGCATAGCATATTCAGGGAAGTACACACAGTGGGGTGGAAGTACACATAGTTGGGGGAGGGGGAGGGAGCAAGAATCTGGAGATGTAGCCAGGGATCAAGTCCTCTCCTCATTGTGGTCTATTGAACTTTCTCCTGATCTGATAATTGAGATACTTTCCCTGGACCCTGAGCACAGGCACTCCCCGCCACCCCCCAGGAGGGTGTTTGTAATCTTTAGGTTGCGTAGGTGGTAGTGGATATACTCACACATTGATTTCTTAGGTTGGCTATAGAATTCCAGAGTGAGCCTTCAGCCCAGGAGAATCCATTCACAGTTCCCAGCGCCAAGAAGGAAGACACCTTGGAGGCCTTCTCAGAATTTCTTCTCAGTGCCTGTGACTCGCTGTGTATCCCTATGGTGATGGTGCGTTCTCCTGAGCCATGGGCAGCATGAAGCTTGGGGCAGAGAGGAATGTGCAGGCGAGCCAGGCTCAGAGGCATAAGGCAGTGACTGCTCAAAGGAACTCTCTGGGGGCCTCAGCAGTGCGATTCTTGCTGCTACCTTTCCTTTGTTCTAAAAATAAAATGTAGTGTTTCATTATGAAACTAACAGGTTCCTCTTAAGAAAACATAGAAAGCAGTAATAATAAAATAATAAGTTGGTAAGTTTATGGAGCAATAAGTGCCTAATATTCACTGCCGGATTTAGTTCTCCCAATGGCCCTAGGAGATGGATGCTATAATTTGCCCTAATTTACAGATAAAGTTGTCATATTTCTTTTTTTTTTTTTTTTTTTTAGACGGAGTCTCGCTCTGTCGCCCAGGCTGGAGTGCAGCGGCTGGATCTAAGCTCACTGCAAGCTCCGCCTCCCGGGTTTACGCCATTCTCCTGTCTCAGCCTCCCGAGTAGCTGGGACTACAGGCCCCCGCCACCTCGCCCGGCTAGTTTTTTGTATTTTTAGTAGAGACGGGGTTTCACTGTGTTAGCCAGGATGGTCTCGATCTCCTGACCTTGTGATCCGCCCGTCTCGGCCTCCCAAAGTGCTGGGATTACAGGCTTGAGCCACTGCGCCCGGCCAGGTTGTCATATTTCTATAGTTATAAAGCAAGCCCATAATGGTGCTGAGATTGAACCTATTACTTCAGGTCCCCTAGCTTTTCTTGTGTCTTTAATAATGAGCAGCAGTGAATGTCTGTTATCCAAGTGTTAATAAGGAACATGTATGTGTGTTCTGTAAAATGAGAGATGACCACTCTGAAGAGAGGCTTGATCCTGAAGGACTTCATTCTGAATTGACCTGAGGTTGAGATGGTGGGAAGAGCAGGGCCAAGAGCTGCTGACTCTGGGTAACCTTGGATGAATCCTCTCCTGCTTGAGGTTTGGGCATCCTGTGAGCCTGTGAGGAGTACCTGTTAGTCAGGAAAGGGCAACTCCTAACCATCTACTGGGAACAGTAGGTGGCAGCAGGGAGGCACCTCTGGCTCTGCACGAGTGAGGTTCTCTTCCTTGAAGAAGCCATTGAGCTGGAGTCTGCAGGAGGTAGTGGTCAGGGACCCTGGACTGTGGCCCTGACTTAACCCACTAACAGTAAGACTTGGGCAACTCATGGCAGTTTACTAACCTGCCCTGCCTTCCTCCTAGATTTTTGAAGTGTTAGAGCTAAATCTAGAAGATCATAGAATTATTGTATTATTCCTTCTTTCTACTTTTCTGTATTTTACACATTTTCTTTAAAGAGCATATATTACTTTTATAATAATAAAAACCAAACTTGCTCTAAAAATGAAAGGAAAGGTGTCAACAAGAACAATGCCTCTGAGGACCCAGCTGTTTACAGAAAGGGAATTGAGACTCAGGGAAGGGAGGAGGTGACTGACTACCCAGGGGCACATTGTGGTGGCTATGTACAGAGCCTGAACTAGAACCCTGTTGTTTTTTTTTTTTCCTAATTCAGAGCTGTGTCTACCACATAAGACTGCCTTATGACTCTTGGAGAATTACCTGAAGGCTGGTCTGAGTGCAATGGTATTTACAACTAATTGATCACAACCAGTTACAGATTTCTTTGTTTCTTCTTCATTCCCCCTGCTTTACTTGACCAGCCTTAAAAATAATAATAACAGGCCAGGTGCAGTGGCTCATGCCTGTAATTCCAGCACTTTGGGAGGCTGAGGCGGGTGGATCACTTGAAGTCAGGAATTTAAGACCAGCCTGGCCAACATGGCGAAACCCCGTCTCTACTAAAAATACAAAAATTAGCCGGGCGTGGTGGTGCGTGCCTGTAATCCCAGCTGCCCAGGAGCATGAGCAGGCTAATCGCTTGAACCTGAGAGGCAGAGGTTTCAGTGAGCCAAGATCGCACCACTGATCTTCAGCCTGGGTGACAGAGACTCCATCTCAAAAAACAAAAAACAAACAAACAAAAAACAACCCCCCCCAAAAAATAACAAATATGAAGGCAGCTTATTAACTATATTATTATTATTACTATAGTAATAGAAACATGAGAGTCACTCTGCATTATGGTTTAGAAAGCAGTTTTTATGCACCAGACCACGTTTGTTTCTGGGAGGGATATCTTGTTATTCTCATTTTAGTCTTTTGGGAACAGAGGCCCAAAGAGATAAAGTATCTAGTGCAATCTATTAGGTGATCCAAGCCTTAGATGTAGGTTTGGACTTTAAGTTCCCTAGCTTTTCTTGTGTCTTTCAAGTGAAAGGAGTTAATCTACTGTTGCTAGATTTGATGAGAGTTTTCTCTGATGCCTTTTCTTCTTCAGAGACTCAATCCTGGTGGGCTATGTTCTCTCTCCTGGTTCTTTGCAGAGACATTTGGAGCAGACCACCCACCCAGCTTTGATGGAAGTTTTCCTCTCAATTCTACACAGCCTCTTTGTCATCGTTCCCCACATGAAGGAGAAGTTTTCCAAGAAGCTTGGTAGGCAGTAGGCAAATGTGGAGGTTGGGAGAGAGGCAAGCACCTTAGGCAGTGCTCAGAGAGTATTCAAAGAGAGCATAAGTTGTGGGTGCACATTTACTAATTCATTCAGAATCTGTATCCTCTGTCCACTGTTGAGTGAAAGGAAGTAACAGGCAGCAATCAAAAGTCATTAAAGGGGCTGGGTGTGGTAGCTCATGCCTGTAATCCCAGTGCTTCAGGAGACCCAGATGGGAGGATCACCTGAGGCTAGGAGTTTGAGACCAGCTTGGACAATACAGTGAGACCCCATCTCTACAAAAAGATTAAAGAAAAATTAGCTGAGAGTTGGTTTTTTTTTTTTTTTTTTTTTTGAGGCGGAGTCTTGCTCTGTGCCCAGGCTGGAGTGCAGTGGCGTAATCTCGGCTCACTGCAAGCTCCGCCCCCCGGGTTCACGCCATTCTCCTGCCTCAGCCTCCGAGTAGCTGGGACTACAGGCCCCGCCACCACGCCCGGCTAGTTTTTTGTATTTTTTTTAGTAGAGACGGGTTTCACGGTGTTAGCCAGGATGGTCTCCATCTCCTGACCTTGTGATCCGCCTGCCTCGGCCTCCCAAAGTGCTGGGATTACAGGCTTGAGCCACCGCGCCCGGCCTACCTGGAGAGTTTTTAGTAATGTTAGTGACTAGTTGTTAATAATAACTAACAATTAAGTTCTACAGTGTGTGAGACACTGTTTAAGTGCTTGCATGTATGGACTCATTTAGTCCTCAGAAAACCCTAGGAATTTTCTATTATGATTATACTCCATTCTACTGATAAGCAAACTGAATCTCAGAGAGGTTAAGTAACTTGCCTAAGGTCACACTATAGTGGTATGCCCAGGATTCAAACCAAGGGAATCTGGCTGTAGAAATATGCTTTCTTTTCTTTTCTTTTTCCTGAGATGGAGTCTTGCTCTGTCGCCCAGGCTGGAGTGCAGTGGCACGAACTCGGCTTACTGTAAGCTCTGCCTCCTGGGTTTCACACCATTCTCCTATCTCAGGCCTCCCGAGTAGCTGGGACTACAGGTGCCTGCCACCATGCCTAGCTAATTTTTTTGTATTTTTAGTAGAGACAGGTTCACCGGTGTTAGCCAGGAGGTCTCGATCTCCTGACCTCATGATCCAGCCGTGCCTCGGCCTCCCGAAGTGTTGGAATTACAGGTGTGAGCCACTGCGCCTGGCCAGAACATGCTTTCTTAATCTCTGAGCTATATTTGACGCTTATCATTATAATTTAATGTTTTTTCTTTTATTCTTGTCACATGGCATGCAACAAATGTTGTGCAACAAGTCTACTGTGGAGAGGCAGCCAGGGCTCAGCCAAGTAGGCCCTTTTTGGCCTTGTGAGGAATTTGGATTTTTTTTCTTATTTATTTATTTATTTTTTTGAGACAGAGTCTCACTCTGTTGCCTAGGCTGGAGTGCAGTGGCATGATCTCAGCTCACTGCAGTCTCCGCCCTGCCTGATTCAAGTGATTCTCCTGCCTCAGCCTCCTAAGTAGCTGGGATTGCAGGCATCTGCCACTGCACCTGGCTAATTTTTGTATATTTTTTGGTATTTTTTTTTTTTTTTTTTAAGTAGAGATGGGATTTCACCATCTTTGGCAGGCTGGTCTCGATCTCTTGACCTCGTGATCCGCCCACCTCGGCCTCCCAAAAGTGCTGAAGATTAGAGGTGTGAACCACTGTTCCTGGCCTTTTTTTTTTTTTTTTTTTTTTTTTGAGACGGAGTTTCGCCTTTGTTGCCCAGACTGAGTGCAATGGCACAATCTCGGCTCACCACAGCCTCTGGCCTCGCCGGGTTCAAGTGAGTTCTCCTGCATCAGCCTCCCGAGTAGCTGAGATTACAGGCATGTGCCACATGCCGCAGCTTAAATTTCGTATTTTTAGTAGAGATGGGGCTGGTTCTCCCTGTTGGCTGGGCTGCGTCGTCGATCTCCTAACCTCAGGTGATTCCGCCCACCTTGGCCTCCCAAAGTGGTTGGCATTACAGACATGAGCCACCACACCTGGCCTGGAATTTGGATTTTATCCTAGGAGTTTTTGTTGAGTTTTTAAAGAAGTGGGAGCAACATTTCAGATTTCTGTTTGAAAAGATCTTTCTTGGAGCTGTGTGGACTATGAGTTAAGAGGGAGGCAGATTGGAGGCATGTATCTCAGCCTCTTGGATTAACTCAGGTTGGTGAGTAGGAAACCTAAGCGGTAGTGTTGGGGCATGGAATAGGTTGGATGTAGGGGCTTGAAAGAGAGGGAACAGTGCGAGGGTAAATTTGCCTGAACTCTCTGGCTGGCTTCTATGCTGGCATGGCGTGGTGGATGGTTAACTTGAGAGAAGGCGCTACTGCAGGGAGGATCTGGTTTGGGGA